TTCCAAATATTTCAAAATCCACATACATTGCTGCTACTATATGCCAGATACCACGTATCTCTACGTATCTGATCGATGACTAGCCTTAATCGAAAGTTCTCTCTCGTGATCGGGAGGGGTAATTAACTATAGGGGCTTGCGCCTATAGGAAACCAGAACTCAGATCATAAAGTCCTCGCAAAATGAGGACGAAATCTCTAGGTAGTGTCTTATCTACAAACTCATCTGCCTTCCAAAATTTACCTCGGAACTTATTCAGTTAAAACTCCCTCGCCGAACAATAAAAAGAAGAAATCGCGCGGCGGGGAGGCCGAGGCCGAATTTTTGGAGCCCACACCAACCTGCAGTTCTGCAGTTTGCATCCCACAAACTTGCTATTACATGCCCAAAATAATCCCTACAGCTGCCAGCACAACAACTGCAACCATGTGTCAGCTCTACCATCCAATTCTCTGTCCAGCTCGGCAATCTGCCTCATTCCAGCTTTCCATGTGCGACTCTCTAGTCTCAAATGAAGAATGAATTTATTATATGCTTTATTGTCAATTAAATAGGCAGAATTTTTTTCTTATTTATTTTTCAACTTTTGGCCGGCTATAGCCTTCGAATTCATTCTATCTTAAGTGGTTTGTATCTCTTATAAATTGTGTATCTTCATCTATTTTGTGAATATAAAAAACGGGAGTATTTTTCTTTTATATTTTTCAACTATTTCTTCTCAACATTTATACTAAGGTGGGTAATGGTTTCTTTGCCTCAAATTTTGGCAGCCTTTTATCCAAATGAAAAACGTTAATTAATAAGAAGATATGTTGATACAGAATAACACAGTTTATCAAGTTAGCTTGTTAATTCTAATGTCATTACATGAACTTCAGACATTTGACACTGAGCAAGAAAAGCAAAAATATAGAAAAGATGGTTAAGGAGAATGTAAATGATTTCACAACTCTGGGTAAACAGCACAAGAAAAATTTATGATCAGTTTACCAAAATTGAACTGTGATTGAACTTGTTCAAGCTTTCAATATATTTTTCACCCCAAATGATGCAGCGTAGTCACCACCACATGTGTTTACTGTTGAAATTTTGATCTGGATTACAGGTTTTATGTGTAATTGTCTTCTGCCAGAAAGTCTCCGTTTGCCAACAGTAAAACAGATACCTGAATACCACGTCTTTTCAGGTTAGTTTGACATCCTCTTGTTCTCCTTCTTTTTCCATATTTATTATGTTACTGATACTAACGGTATTTTTCTTACATGTCTGTATATCATTAACATTTAGATTTATTTTTACAAAATGATGACATTGTTTTGAAGGAATTCGGGTACTATTTATTTTTTTAAAACATTTAAGTCACATGCTCTAAGCACTTCTCTGATGGCGTGGCAAGCTTCCCAGCCGTCTGTGCATGAGGGTTTTTACTTGGTTTAATCTTTGGTCTCTAAGGTTAGATAGGGTTGGGAAATAGGTGAACCTAACTCAAACATAGAGAGCAAAAACTGAGCGAAAAGTAATAGAAAACCAAAAAAAGAAGATTAACACATAAAAACACATTTTTATGTAGCTTCGCCTAATTATATGGAAAATTATAATCCTAATTCATTTGATACAAATATAATATGACGTCCCTCTTTTTATATATATAATCAAAAAATTTATGCCATAAGAAAATATAATAAAATTTTTAAAACGCCCTTATTAAAAAAAAAAGCTTTAAATATAAGATTGGCACATGACTAACCCGTGTAGCAAATTTTCTTCATAAGAAAAAATTAATCAGAACCCACATCATAGCAAGTCTTGGATTGGGAGATGCCGAGCTGGGAGAGTTCAGGCTGTGGAGAAGCTTAGATATGTGAGCTGAGGGGATCTGATAAGGCCTTGGAGAACTTGCCACGCTTAAATTTTCGTATAAAAATGTGATAACCCGGATGCCTTCTTCAGGTATTTTCTTAACTCCCTTAAAAATTCTTATGTTCTTGTAATAACATGTTTTTTTTAACTTTGTTTGAATCTAAAAGACAGTTCAGAGTCCATTGCATTCAATAGCTCACGCGAGCTACTGAACAGTGATGATGCTGATGAAGATGAGCATCTTCTTTCAAAATCGCAAAGAGTTGAAGTTGCAGTTGTAAGAGAAGCTCATAGGTGAGGAGTTAATTTGCATTGTACGCTGCAGACTTGCTCATTTTCCCTAAGTGATGCTCTTAAAATGCTGTATTCATGATTTCGCTGCAAAACTTTCTCTATTTATTATTTTTCTGCGTTGCACATGCTTAGCATTGTATTTATTTATTTTTTTTTGTTTATTCTTTGTATTTGAAAGCTACTATTGTAGCAATGTTTTTCTTTGTGGAAAACCTCAACATTGAGTGTCCCTTGTGCTTGAGATGTTTAGAATTTATAGAGCAGAGCCTTAAAGTGATCTATGATAAATAATTAATTTTGAGAATTATGAAGTGTGATGGATATATCTTAGTAATCAAACCACCTAAGGCTATGGAAATGTTTATATTTGATGAAACTCTCGCTAGAGGCTAAATAGTTGGTAAAGCAATAGATCGACATCCATTCTTACTTTTAGTGGAGCTTCCTAGGTAATGGCCTTGTAATAATTAATAGATTTGTACATGGACAATGAACACGAGTTCACTTGTACCAATAAAGGGAACAATTAAGTACCATGTAGTCAGCCTCTTGATGAATAAAGTTTTGCAGTCATTGAAAATTATTGTCAATAATTATCGTCCTCCAGAAGGTGATGATGGGTTGGCGGATCTGTCGTGGCTGCAGGGTTTGTTGTCCCTCTTTGGATTTCCACCGCAAAGAGGGAGTTGAAGCTATTTTCAGTAGTCAAGAGAGGAGAAATGAACAACAAATTGATATTGAAGTTCAGCAACAGGGGGTAGTTTGAGCATATAGGCAGGGATGCAACGATTGCGTGACTGGGTTGCATGCATATGAGATGCAATGGACTTTGAAAGGAAAGTACTTTTTGGTAAGTAGTGGGTGAAGGATGAAGGATGCGGAGTCATGTCTATAAAATTGGGAAGGACTCTTGTGATTGGGGCAGAGATTAGTGTAAAGCAGGCTGGACGGGGATGGGGGTTTAGGACTGTAGATGCAATGCCTTTTTTATTTTTCAAAGTTTTGGAGGTGGCATTTAGGTGCAATGCTCTTGATCGAGTGAGAAGATAAATTAGGGAGAGTCGTCTTAAATGATTTGGTCACATAAAGCGGCGGCCTTTTGATGACCCAGTTAGGAAAGTAGAGGTATTAGATTTGGCTTATGTTAAAAAAGGTACAGGTAGGCCTAAAAAGACTTGGTTAGAAAATATTAGAAATGATATTTTTTTTGTTAATTTTAAATGAGAAGTTGACTCTTTCCAGGACTGGAGAAAAAGGATTTATGTAGCTGACCCCCACGTCGTGGGATAAAAGGCTTGATGTTGTTGTTGCTCTTGATCAAGTGACAATTATTATCTTTGATGCCACTTAATTGATAGAAGAAAAGAGTGAGAGAAAATATAAACATGGGGGATATATAAATTGACTATAGAGCGAGAGAAGCATTGGTTGCTTTAATAGAAATAACCTCAAACATTATTCAATATTCTATCATTGTCTTAACTTAGTCCTTGAGGTCATTATTTTTAATGAGAGGGTTTGATGCAGGACATATATGAAAATTTGATTTAGGTAAGAATTTTTGCACACTTATTGAGTAAGAACAAATTAATTAAATCTTTATGGTGATTCAAACAATGAAATAAAACACAAAGAACAGTAAACACAAGTTTGGGCCAACTTACTCGCAAAAACGTAAAATCACATAATAATCAATTACTCTTGACGTTGCATACGAGATAGGTTTCAACATGAAATCCCTAATCTAACAATAAGAATAGTGCTATGAAAGATCTCTCAAACACTTCCTACTAAACACTAAGCTTTTAGCGGAGCTCGGCAAGATTTTGCATGAATCAAATAAAACCACAAGCAAGGATCAACGAAGAAGGTAAGAAAGAAGGAAAGAGTTCACCCTTTGCTAAGATTCAACCTTCTCGCAAGCTTGGACAGCAGTTGGTATCATCTTGACGGCTCGGACAGTAACAAATCCACGCTCAAACCTTGGAACAGCAAGTAGCCAACCTGGGACAGTGGTTCCGGACAGTTCTGGGCAGCAACGATCACTCCTAGAGCTGGAAAGCAGCGAACTGCTGTTGGAGTCTCTGAACAGCAGATAGGTGGTCTTGAACAGCAGCTATCTAGGTTTTGGAAGGGTGGACAGCCACTATTAGAATCCAGAAATTTCTGGACAGCAAGTAGAGATGGGTAAACAGCAACACATGAAGATTGGGACAGCTTTCTCCCAAGAATCCAAGTGGGAGAAGGTAAGGGAAGGTGGCCGGCCAAGGGGGAAGGCTTGGGGAAGATTGGGTTTAGGTTTTGGGTGAATTAGGCTTAAAGTTTGGAAGAAGATCTTGGAGGGAAAAGCTCAGATTAATTCCCAAATAGAAATTCCTTGATTAGGAAGTAAATTAAGTGGGGGATAAGGGAAGGAGGCGGGTAGGCTAGGGCTGGTTTTGGAAATAATTCCAAATTGAAGGCTTGATTTTGGGAAAGAAATATTGGGGTGGGGCTTTGAAAAATTCGGCTAAGAGAAAGGGGGGATGGGGTGTCTAGATGCAATGTATGTGGGGGGATTAACTAATTAAATTATCAATCTCAGATTTTGATTTATTACTTATTAGTGGCTTTCTAAATTTAGGCATCTTTAATTAGAAAAGTGTGGGGATTTGAATAAATTAAATAATCAATCTCAAATTTGGGATTGATTAATAATTAATGGACTTTCCAAACTTGGACCACTTTAATTTGGAAAGATTTTACTTTCAAATTATCTTGAATTTGAATTCAAATAATTCCCAAATCAAACTAATCTATTTTAGGAAAGGGCGAGGGGGGTGGCCAGCAGCTTGGATGAGTGGGGAAGGAAACGACGGCTTGGGGTGGTGGTGGTGGGGCCATCGGTAAGAGGGGCAAAGGGTTGGGTTGAATGGCTTGGTGGTGGGGAAAGTTGGTCGGCGGTGAGGTGGGGGGTGGCTAGGGAATCTGGCGGCTAGGAGGAAAGGAGATTGAAGGAAAACGAACGATAAAACAAACCACAAACTCGGCCGTCTCCAAGGTTGGTGGGTGATTCATTTTCCCTCCCTAGGAATTTCTCCAAAGCTCTCTCCAAGAACTCTCACAACTCAAAGAACACATGCAAGAATTTTCTTATAATTCATTCATTAACCCTCAAAGAAGAAGAGGGAGGCTTTAAATAGCTCATACATTGAGAAAATAAAAAGTATTACAATGCCCCTAGGGCTTACACATACCTAAGCCCTTAAGTAAGGGCAAAACTGGAAAAGCATAATAAAGCTTCATAAATAAAAACTAATACATCAATAATAAATACGAAAATCAAAAGTAGAGCAGTGAAATCGTGGTCGTAGATCGACGGCCATGCCTCTAATAAATCTTTCATGTCCTGATGTCCTCATCACTCTCCCGGGGTGGAAAAAAGCTTAACTCTATCGAGTACGCATCCCGGGTGCTCTCGTAGAACTGTAGTGCGTCTGGGTCGATCTGACCCAGTGTCCTCAGGCTCGGGCTTGCCTCTCCACCTATTCAAATTACTTTCTTCGATCGCCCTCTTTTGTGGAAGTAATATCATCACTTAAAATCATGCTAACCTTCTACGCTATAGGTATTTTATAAACATTTAGGAGTGGAGGTAAGCTTGGGTTCTCACAAGGTGGAGTCACACAATGCTTAAATTGTTTGATGGGTTAAACTATAGATCCTTATAAGCAACCATATCTTCTATGTTAAAGGAGGGATTAATGTCGAATTCTGCAGACAGATCCATCCCGTAAGCATTGTTGTTGATTTTCTTGACTATTTTGAATGGCCCCGCACTTTTGGCATGTAACTTCTTAACAATTCATTGTGGGAACCGTTCTGGACGAATCCGCACCATCACCGAGTTACCAACCTCAAAATTTTTAAATCTTTGTTTAAAATCAACAAGAAGCTTATAATTAATGTTGCTCTGCTCAATTTTGCGTGCAATTTCCTTATATAAATCATGCAAATGCAATACAAATGTAGATGTCGACTCAGAAATCTTATACCTAGAACACATGGGTATTGAGATCTATCGACAGCCTAGGTTTGAACCCATAAACAGTTTCGGCGGGACTTAAACCAGTGGTATGGGTCATTGAATCATGGTAGATGAGCTCTACTGTGGGGAGTTCGGATAGGGAGGCTCCAGGGGCTAGATCTAAAACATACGGAATGCCTCTAATCGGAGGAAATTGACTGGGAAGATCATCAGGGAAGACATCACCAAGTTTACTAAGTATGGGCCGAATCTACTGAGGGACCGGTTCGTCAAACTCAATGGAAGTCTCACGACTGACTAAGGCGTGAAAGGGTGCGCTTTGGGCTATGGCAGCTATCAAGTTCAATCTCTTCTTGGATTTGTTAGGGTTGGATTCAGGATCATCAGTAACCCGAGGCTGTGATGGCAAAAGCTTGATCTTTTTGCCCTCACGCTTATAAATATGAACATCATTGTCAAATAGCCAGGGACGGCCTAGAAGGATTTGTCCAACATTTATAATTAACACATCACACCAAACATTCTCCTCATAGTCAACGAAGGAGATAGGTATGAAGTTTCGCTCCTTTACCTCCAAGGCAGTGGTGTTAACCCAAGCTACCTTATAGGGGTTGGGGTGATGAACGATAGACATGCCAAGCTTAGACACCATGCTGGAGGAGCAGCATTGATGTAGCTGCCACTATCCACGACGACTTTACAATTCTTATCCTTGATTTTGGCGGAGTGAAAAATCGTAGTCCTACGCTAGTCGTCGGTGGTAACGGGATGTGACAGTGCACATCTCACCATGCAGGTGGGAGAAGTGTCAATTTTATGAATGTACTGGATGACAGCAGTGTCGTCATCCTCTGCAAAGAATTCACTATCGTTGTCCACTTGGTGAATCTGATCTATTTCGGGCTCGAATTCCGCCTCAGTGATCTCTTTGATAATCGTGACTTTGTAGGGACTAGAGCACTAAGAGGCGATATGCCCATACCTATGACATCTAAAGCACTTGGTCCCGGGTTGGACCGAGGGGTATCCATAGTGGGAGGTTTACTTCTAACATCAGGATGGGGGGTGGGGGGACCATACGAGGTCGGGTAGTGCTTCCTGGGATCGGCTGGGCAGTGGGAGTGTATGGGGTGGAACTACCAGAATGCCTGTAGGAAAGCCTAGAGTCGTGGTGTCGACTAGGGAGTAGGGGACGGGTTTCCTCTTGGTCTAACACTAAACTGCAAGCATTTTCAAGGGTAGTGATGTTCCGGGCGAACAGCTTGTTGCGAAGATCATCTCGCAACCCGGTACGAAACATGGACAGGATTTGCGCGGGGGTAGTGGAAGTCTCCCCTTTGCAAGGAATTAGGTAGTCATCAAAAGATGCAATGTACTCCTTAACGAATTTGTTGCCCTGAGTCAACCTATTTTACCTATCCAACAATCTGGGGAAGTACGAGGGAGGCAAGTACTTCTGCTTAAGCTCACGTTTCATGGATGACCAATCGGTGACGGGATACTCATTTCGGGCTTCTCTCAGGCTTTCTAAATTGGACCAAAACTGACTTGCCCTACCCGTGAGCTTCATCTCAGCAAAACTAACCTTCCTAGCCTCAAAGATGGTATACCATTTAAAGAAACTATCCATACCTTTGACCCAATCCAGGAAGAGCTGAGGATCGAGGTTGCCATCAAAGGTAGGAGCATCGACTTTAATGTTCTTCATTAGTGATATGTCAGGGTCATTGTGAGAGTTGTGTCCATAGTGGGGAGCTTGATGAGGGGCACGAGGAAGTCCCTCATATAGATAGGTGTAGTTCTTGTACATGGATGGAGGTCTAGAAGGTGTGTAAAGGGGAGGATGGTTCCTACTTCGATCTAGGGTATCGAAGCGTTAGTCGTCTAACGACGGAGGTTAGCTAAGTCAGCTTGGTTATCCTTGAGTTGTTAGCTAATGTTATTCATTTGACCTGCCAACAAGTCTAATGTCCTGCCGAGTTGTTCCGGGTCCATTAGAAGACTCTACAAGATACTCAAGGATGAAGGGATGTAAATGACAACACTTAAACTTATATGGAATGTTCCTAAAGGCTTGCTAAATGATGCAAAACATGATGGACAACAAACATACAATGTACTAAATGACAAAAATGCAATGTTAAAACAAATTGCTAAGCTTAACAGTGGAAATTAAAACTCTAGATGGATCCTAGTACATGCAACTAGAGCAAACCATGCTCTGATACCCGATGATGCAGGACATATATGAAAATTTGATTTAGGTAAGGATTTTTGCATGCTTATTGAGTAAGAGCAAATTAATTAAATATTTATGGTGATTCAAACAATGAAATAAAACACAAAGAGCGATAAACACAAGCTTAGTCTAAGTTATTCGCGAAAAAATAAAAACCACATAATAATCAATTACTCTTGACGTTGCATACGAGATAGATTTCAACAAGAAATTCTTAATCTAACAATCAGAATAGCGCTATGAAAGATCTCTCACAAACTTCCTACTCAACGCTAAGCTTTTAGCGGAGCTTGGCAAGATTTTGTATGAATCAAATAAAACCACAAGCAATGATGAACGAAGAAGGTAAGAAAGAAGGAAAGAGTTTACCCTTTGCTAAGATTCAACCTTCTCGTAAGCTTGGACAGCTGTTGGTGTTATCTTGACGGCTCAGACAGTAACAAATCCACGCTAGAACCTTGGGACAGCAAGTAGCCAACCTGGGACAGCGATTCCGGACAGTTCCGGGCAGCAACGGTTGCTCCTAGAGGGTGTCTAGATGCAATGTATGTTGGGGAATTAACTAATTAAATAATCAAACTCAAATTTTGCTTGATTACTAATTAGTGGCTTTCCAAATTTAGACATCTTTAATTAGAAAAGTGTGGGGATTTGAATTAATTAAATAATCAATCTCAAAGGTGTCTAGATGCAATGTATGTTGGGGAATTAACTAATTAAATAATCAATCTCAAATTTTGATTGATTACTAATTAGTGGCTTTCCAAATTTAGGCATCTTTAATTAGAAAAGTGTGGGGATTTGAATTAATTAAATAATCAATCTCAAATTTGAGATTGATTAATAATTAATGGACTTTCCAAACTTAGACCACTTTAATTTAAAAAGATTTTACATTCAAATTCTCTTGAATTTGAATTCAAATAATTTCCAAATCGAACTAATCTATTTTAGGAAAGGACAAGGGGGGATGGCCGGCTGCTTGGATGAGTGCGGAAGGAAACGGCGGCTTGGGGTGGTGGTGGTTGAGTTGTCAATGGGGAGGAAGGTGGGGGACAGTGAAGAGGGTGGTGGGGTCGGCGGTAAGAGGGGCAAAGGGTTGGGTTGAATGGCTTGGTGGTGAGGAAAGTTTGCCGGCGGCGAGGTGGGGGTGGCTAGGTAATTCGACTGCTGATAGGAAAGGAGATTGAAAGAAAAAGAACGATAAAACAAACCACGAATACGGCTGTCTCCAAGGTTGGTGGGTGATCCGTTTTCCCTCCCTAGGAATTTCTCCAAAGCTCTCTCCAAGAACTATCACAACTCAAAGAATATATGTGCAGGAGTTTTCTTATAATTCCTTCATTAACCCTCGAAGAAGAAGAGGGAGGCTTTAAATAGCCCATACAAAGAGAAAATAAAAAGTACTACAATGCCCTAGGGCTTACACATACCTAAGCCCTTAAGAGCAAAACTGGAAAAACATAATAAACTTCATAAATAAAAACTAATACATCAATAAGAAATACGAAAATAAAAAATAGAGTGGTGAAATCGTGGTCGTAGATCAACGGCTATGTCTCTAATAAATCTTCCATGTCCTGATGTCCTTATCAGGGTCTTAGGGTTACACATAAATTAAACAACAACATAATTTGAAGAAAAAAGCCTTGTTAAAAAAAAAACAATATATAACTCTAATAGAACAAATCCAAGTTTTACCTAAATACAATTACTACATTAAAAAAATATGAACTATTTAATTAATCGTGTCGTTGGCATTAAACATAAATTTGGATTGAACGACCATCATCAAATGGTCTATTAGAATTAGAAGAAATACTAAAGTACTCAAAACCCAAAAAAATCATCACTGAATGGATGAAATGTTGCATGTAAATGTTACCATCCATCTAATGATCTGGAGGCTTCCACTGGACATTGAGTGGGAATTATAACATTACTCTGGAATTAAAAACTTATATTGTTGTTAGGAACATGGTTGTGACATACTGATTCTAAGGAATTCGAGGTTCTTCCCAAAAAGCAAGCCAGTGGTCAAAGATGGACCAACCCTCAAGATATCATCCCATTCTATCATCTACTTGTCTTCTAACATTAACCCACAAGATGCTATATGTGTAGCTTGATCGTGAAATGAAGCACATAAGGGCATCTCCAACCAAAAAACTCATTTTACACTATAAAATACAATAAAACTTCAAAATGGCGTAATTCATTTCCAATCGAACTTCATTTCTCTCATCTTTTGTGCACTTCATGCGAAGGTAATTATCTCTCTCCTCTTTCGTGCACTTTTCTCCTCTTTCCCGCTCTTCTTCGGCAAATTCGCGAGCGAGGGTTTTTTGACATAGGTGAACATTCCGCGTCAAGTTTGGCGTCGCATATATTGGCGTCGAACTGTTTACCTGCTGAATTTTGTTATGAGATTTGGAGTTCGAATGCAGCGTATGGCAGATGGCATACGGTGGTATGCAGTTCGGTTTGAGATGATCTAAGTACATAAATCATAGTTTTCGGCTGTTAACATTCACTGAGGTGTTCAGATCACCTTTTTTTTTTTTTTTTGAAAATTTGGGCTTTACCCGTATATTAAAGATGAAAAATTACAAGTAAGACCCAAAAAACCTCAATCAAAAAAGAGGCTAGCTCCTACAAAGCACCAAAAAGAAAACACAACCAAAATACAGACAAAATTGATCAAAGCACATAAAAGCTCCAATGCCAAAAAAGCCTGGACTCGGGTAATTAATCATCTCATCACATAGAATCACAAACCCCTGGTTGCTCGAAGACCATCCAAAGGGGAGCGGAATATGGAGCCTCATCATTGTCACAGGTTATGCAAAACCTTCCTAGCAATCTCCTGCAACAGCATAACAGCTAAACAGTCCCAGTAAGCAACCCAGGTAGAATATCATATTGCTACAGAAAACACAACCTGAGAAATAGGGGATTCACGGCCAAACCAGATCAAGAAAAAACCCAAGATCAAGTTAAGGCCAGAGCACGGATATAGCTTATCCAGGTATTTAGTGGAATCCTTCCACTTAATAACTCTGTGATGGACTGCTTTTTTAATACATAGAGAGATAGTATTGCTGCTGCTAAATTTGTTTCCAAATCTCCTGAGGTTTTTTTCTTTTCAAATATAATAGACGCAGCAGCAGGCGATGAGGGAGAATAAGTTTTTCTCCCAAACCTGCATACTTTGTTCACCATCAATCCATTCCAGAAGTTGAAGAATAGTAGGTTTAAGCAGTAAGCTATTAGAGCCAAGAATTAAATCCGTGATAATATTAAAAGAGTATGAACATTCAAAAAATAAATGTGCAGCACTTTCAAAGTGATTGTGGCATAAGCTGCAAGCTAAAGGAACATAAATGTTCCATTTATGTAATTCCTCTGCAGTTTTTAAACATCTGACAATAGCAAGCTAAGTAAAGCACGAGAACCTCATAGCATGTTTAGCCCGCCAAACTAAATTATACCAAGCACAGGTAGACTGATTGGAATAAAACTCAAGTATGAAATTAGAATGCCTACTCTTCGTTTGGTTCCCCCACAAAAGACAGTTAGAATCCTCCTCCACAATGCTATTTTTTTAAATGTCATTTTTAACAGAGAGTGGATGCAGTCACGTAAAACCCACTCATTTCCAATAATAAAACCTCTAACAAAACAGTTAGAGCTAATAGAATTTAACTGAAAAAGCTCAACTGATAGATCCTCCAGTCTACCATTTAAGCACCAGTTATCCCAACACATGGAAATGGGCGCCTTATTTGTAATTCTAAAAGAAAATTTTTATTTAACAACCCCAGCAGTAAAACATACAGCCTTCCATAAACAGGATGCATAGGAGGGGATCGGGCGCCAAGGTGAGATGTATCTGCTAGAGAGCCAAGCAGATAAAGGGTAATAGCTGTTGTACATTCTGAGGATAATAGAGCAGTTAAAAGCAAGCAAGGATGGCAGACCCAACCCCCCAATTGCTTTTTTACAGACCTTATCCCAAGAGACCATGTGTAATTGCTTGCTAGCAGATGAGTCTCCAAAGAAAATAAATTTAGAAAAACTTTCTTGCAAACGCCCAGCAAAAGATAAGAGACAACCCTTCCACCCATACAGCTTTCTAGATATACTATCCATTAATAGAAGATAGTCAGCCACTTTAAGACGATAGAAAGACAGTGGAATCCCAAGATAGGTGAACTTGTTTGGGATGTTATGAATAGATAGCACTTGACAAAGCTCACCTTGGTTATGCACATTTTTGGGAAATATAATAGAGCTTTTTTCAAGATTCACATGAAGACCCGTAGCATTGGAGAATGTAGTAAGAATGTTTTTAAGGCTTTTATAGTTCTCCACAGTGACTTCACCAAAATTTAACACATCATCCGCATACAAGAGATGAGATAACAAAAAACCTTCCATATTAATTCCTTTGAAATCTCCATTATCAAGAACGGCAGAGAAGGCATTCATAACCAAACAAAAGAAATAAGGGCTTAGCGGACAACCTTATCTAAGACCAACAGAAGATGGAAAAAAAACCTTCAAGAGCCCCACCCACCAAAACAGAAAAATTCACATCAGATATGCATGCTTTAACCCCGCTCACAAAATATGATTAGTTTTGAAGCTATGCTGATATAAATATATAAAAAAAAGGAGAAATAATCTGCACTCATACCATAGGATTTATGTCAGTCCTGAAATCCTCATGGATTAAATTTGAATTGCACACAGACAGATTGACTTCTTTTGGTGCATGAATTTGAGCAATCTTGCTAAGATTTGGAACTAAATATATAACTCAGATGTCACTAATCCAACATCCCAAAACAATTCTTTAGCTTTGATAGCAGTTTTCAGCTTTTTCATTCTATAAAATTGTGTTGCATTAATCATTTAGGTTTTGTTTGGGACGATTTTTTACTGCTTCTTAAAGCAAATTTTTGTACTATAAAATCATTTTAAGCATCAGTAAGAAAGTGGTCCCAAACGAAGTCTTAGTACTCATAATATATTTTTTTGCTTTTTAAAATTATTTTTTAGCGCAAATCTCAAACGAGGCCTTAGGCTTTGTATGGGACGGCTTTTTAACTGTTTTCTAGAACAGGCTTTTATACTAGAAATATGTTTTAAAAAGCAGTAAGAAAGCCGTTCCAAACGAAGTCTTAGAGATAGCTTTTTGAAACAGCTTTCCTGCACTTTTTTTTTTTTAAGTAACGAAAAAAGAGTAGTGAAAAACAATCCCAAATAAAGCCTTTGTTTGATGATATTGATAAAAAAATTTTATGGAAGGAAAGTAATAATCAATGTAAAAATATTTTATATGATTAGAATAATGATTAAAAAGATGAAACTTTGTGTTTCATCTCGCATCAAATATTTAAAGTATATGTTGACGTGGTAGTATCAAATTATTAATTCTCATCTTTTAACTTTGATTTTAGTTGAAAATATATTTAATTACTAATATATAAGATCAAAAAAAAAATCCCCAAAAAAATTTAATTACTAATATATACGATCAAAATTGATCTCTTTTAATTCTCTCTAATCCAATTAATATGAAAGAATTTACTTGTGAAGTACATTTTATTAGTATCATCAAAGTTTCTTATCACTTGGCTTGGGTACTATCTTGAGTAATAATCATAATTTTCTTGTAAATTCATTAATGTATAGGTGAGTTGCTAATCATTACTCTCCTCAAAATCCATCTTATTGGGCTTCTATTGATAAAAAAAAGGGTTTCCTTTTTTAGGCTGGTCTTTAGGAATTTTTATTAGGTCCGGTGTAAGGACGTAGAGGAACGTTCGGTCAAAGGCAAAATTTTGCCAAAAAACTCGGTATTTGTTTGGTATTACTATGTATTATTTGATAATAACGAGGAATACCGCTCTGTGAAGATCAATACCGAGCAATACCGAGTTGTACTGAGTTCTTTTCTAGGAAAAATTCGGTACAACTTTTGTATAACTCGGTATTGCTCGATATTGCTCGGTATTGGGTCTTCACGTGATGGTATTCCTCGTTATTGTTTGGTATTGCTCGACATTTACTCGGTATTTCTCATTTTTTGATGCGATTTGGCCTCCAATCAGACGTTCCTATCCGTCCGGTTAGAGGACGTAATAATTGTTCAGTCTTTAGAGCATAAAATGATAAGGAAATTTGAAACAGTATTGTATATAAAAATTATTTCTTATAACTCAATTGTATTGTCCATGATAAACAAATTCCAATCTTACTAGTTTGGCTTGGTAGCTAAAAAATATTAATACAATAACTCCTTAATTTTTTTTTTTACTAGTAACTCAAGAGCTAAAAGCTTTATGAAGAGGAGAGCACAGAAAAGGCGAAGAAAATAAACCTACTGCAAATCTAGATCCAACTCATGTTATCAATCAGGAGAAAATAATGGTATGAACTATCCTGTTTATAAGTTCACAAGAAAAAAGGACAAAAAGTTCCCATTTATGCCATTTTTTATAGCATAGTTAACATGCTAATTAAAAAGTTCATATTTTTACATAAAATAATATAATTTATTTCATATAACATAGCCAAAAACATGAACCACCTTGCTCTGCCAAAGAAATATTATTGAATTCACCAATCCTTTAAAAAAATATATATTCATGGAAAATTGCAATCCCTACCATGTGATAGTGAGCCTATATGTCTTATCTAAACGAACTATCGAGACTTTGGACTATCTGAATGCAAACTTCGAGAAATGCTAAACAATTGACTAGCATGATCAAACTCAAAAGAAGTATCTTTCCTTTATATAATGAATGTTCATAGTCTTCAAAAGCTTACATGCTGAATTATTAAACCTGGTGATACATCAGAACCAAAGCAGGAATCTGAAATATCTCCTTTAAAGGTCTCAATCCACTAGGCAGATCACAAGTGGATAAGCAATGGAGCAATAATACATGAACAGCAAAAACATAGCTGATTGCTACACAAGCAAAATAAAGTCCTCTTCAATATCTGGGAGATTAACATGCCCAGATGATTCATACATTCAAATTTAAACTGATAAAGGGGGATTATTAAGAAGACTTGACTGGAAGGGTTCGCATAATTATTCATCCAAGATACTTTCTTTAAAAAATGTGCCATAACAGGAGAACTACAATGCAAAACTGATTTTGTGGAAGACAGCATCCATTTGTGTATGAGATTTTCATTTGGAGTGAAACTTAAGGTTTACTGATTCATAACCAGGCACATGGACAACTGCAAATGAAAGAAGATAGTTGAATATAAGGTTGGGAAAAAAATAGTTCAAAATTTTAATCATGATGAATCTCAAAATAATCCTTAGATTTGCTTTGAGATAGGTGCAATACCGTCTCCAAAAGAAGCCAATGTCAGAGGTGATGAAATTATCTTTTCAGTAAGGGAAGCAATGTCATCTAGAGTGACCTCATCAACTGCCTTAAGGAAATGATCAATAGGTTTCCTGCGTGGTTTAACAGTTTTAGTAACAAATATTCCATAACTATTATTAAAACTACTTGTAAAAGAAAGTTTGACCGTTCTGGTCTCACTAGTAAAACTCTACAAAGTAACCCACAAGGCCTGGGGCGCTGATTGATGTGGCCGTTAAAAGTAGGATTTCCATTATATGCATTTAAATCACCACATGAACATCTTAAATCTATAGGCATTAAGAAAACGGTTGCCTTGATTTTTAGATAGACCCACAATTTCAGTTATTAGCAATTGTGCACATAAAACAACAAATTAAAAATCATTATTTTCCGTCAGATTTTACTCAGAAAGGCAAATATATCAAAAGAGTCTGGCATGTGAGAGTAGGAGAAATTATTCCGTGCGGGAAGTTCTCCCATCCAAACTGTGAGTGTGCACACTGTGTACAAATAGTATGTACACAATTTGAACCAAACTGTGTACAAAAATTATACATAATATGTACACTCACAATCGGGACGAAAACTTCCCGTCTAAACTCTGCACACTCTGCACGGAATAATTTCTCTGAGTGTAGACTTATTGAGTGCTGTGTTATATTGGACAAATAACCTTAGAGGACTAACAACTCCACCAGTAACACTGAGTTTGTTTGCGTATCCCAACCGCTCTATGTGAAGAGCATTTTAATAGCTCTAGTATTGTGTATGTTTATTGAAACAGGAGTTGGCCCCTGTTATTTCAGAATGGCATAAAATTCAAAAAGCTTCTGCCACCTTCTCATTTCTCTCTAAAAGATCAAGCAAGATGTTGCAGGTCCTAATCTTTGGGTGGCACCCTTCAGCTACCATTTCATCAAAAATAACCTAAAAGCCATCACAACTTTATTTATTTTACTAAAACATTCAATCAAGGTGCTGTACGTGAGACAACATGAGGACTCAAGCCCTCCTTTGCGTTTCCTCGAAGAACCTAATATGCTTGATTAAGAATTATAACTGATGAAATCACGTTTGCAAAATTAGATTCCATTTCCTCAAAAAGTTCCAATGCCTTCTCGGCCAGGCCAACTTTGCCAAAACTTGAAAAAAGAATATTGTATGTAAATATGTCAGGAGAAGGCCCACTATCCCTTATTTGTTCGTACAGAGTTTGAATATATGATAACTGCATCAATTTACCAAGAACAGAAAAAACTACAATTAACAACCTTTTTTTTTCCTAACAAGCTTCACTAGGGCGGTTGATTTAAGTCTTGGTAGAATTCAACAACGAAAAATTTCTCCAAAAACATAAACAAATAAGAGCTCTCTCTCTCTCTCTCTCAAACATAAAAAATAATTTTAGTTTTTTTGTGTGTGTGAGTTTGCCTTAAATGGCCTAAATGTCCCACAAAAAAAAAAAATCAATTTACCAAGAACTGAAAAAACTATATTGTACATCATAGTGTTTGTACATCAGGGCGCTGTGTTTAGGAGCAGTTGTACAATTAAAAACCTTTTTTTTTCCTAACAAGCTTCACTAGGGCGGTTGATTTTAGTCTTGGTAGAATTCAACAACGAAAAATTTCTCCAAAAACATAAACAAATAAGAGCTCTCTCTCTCTCTCTCTCAAACATAAAAAATAATTTTAGTTTTTTTAATATTAAAAGAATGTGCAACTTTAATTATTGTATAATTCAAAATATAATAATTTTGTAATCAATCAAATAACTATTTATTAAGGGGGCAATTGGGATCACTTTTTATTTTTAATATTTTGTTTAAATTTGTTTATGCTTTATTATGAAATAAAAACATATTTGGTTTCCTAAATTGTTAAATAAGTTTTATTTTTGTTGCATATTACATAAGGTGGTGATAGCAAGTGATGATGACGGTCAATAGTAGCGATAATTGACGGTCGGCAATGACTGACAAATGTTATTCATGTTCATTTTCATTTAACAAAATTAAAAACCTAAAAAATCTCTAAAATTTATTTCGAGTAGTTTAAAAAATAACTTGGTTTGCAAAAATAAAAAAAACAAAATAAATGTATGAAACCAAAAAGAAGGTGATTCCAACAGCCCTTATACGTATTATAAATATTAATAATTTTAATTTCTCATATTACCAACATAACCTAACGATTTATCAACTTAATCTCATATGCTAAATAAGAGAATAACATAATATTTCTTAAAAATTTATATAACACCTAATATCTCAAGTAGTTATAAATTCTTTGTTGTCCCCCATGCATATATGGGGTTTCTTATGCAAGGGTAAGTCTAAGCATCTTTCAGGGAGAAATGGTCAGTGTGCTACTCAGTTCACCTACGCGTTTCGGTATTCTATCCAGGCAGTATCAAAATAAATATGACTTCACAATACAAGAGCGTAAATATCATTAAAAGATGTTAATTGTTAACAAAAATACCTTTCTCCATATGTCAAAATCTGCCGTCCTATGTCCTCTGATGCTACCATCTGCATAATCATATACCAAAAGTCAGTAAAATAGATTCAGAAGTAGCACTTTTAGCATACCAGAAGTAATTAAGTTCATACTCTTGATTCCAGGTTCATCAAAACAGCAGACTTGGTGGCCTGTTTAGCACGATCTAGTTCCACCTGGTCAACTGTGTAAAGAAACCATTAGAGCGTTAAATGAGGCTCCAACTTTATATATAAAGTACAGTAAGATAGGCTCAGCAACATACCTTGTCCAGGGGTAGCAGCAGCTAGCAACTCCTTGGCCGCAATGTCTACAGCTTTAGAAATAAAATCTGAACCCTAATTTAGGAGGTAAAACACTCATTATAGAATAATAAATGCAATCCTTTGAGTTTAATAACAAATTGAAGATTGCAATCGTTTACCAAATTAAAATTAAAAAAAACATTTATGAGGGAAACAAATTAACAATTGGACATAAATGTAGCTTAACGGCCAAGAATATTCAGAAGAAAATCCAAGATAAAAGGGTGCTATCAATACAGCAAAGAAATCCGAATTACATGTTAAAAACCTTCAGTGAACCTCTCCTGCCAATTTTTGGAGTCCCATTGACATTGCGGGCAACGAGGTTGCTAGCTTCTGCAACCCCTGGACAATTTTTTCTTTTTTTATAAAACAGAGAATTCAGGACACCAATTGACAAGCTACTAAAAAACAACCTTATAAAATTTTCATAGGACAACAAAAAAGAATCTAATCGAATTATAGAAAGCTGAACCAGACAAATTTTCATGTTTTCTTAAGCTCATTTCTCTTTCTGGTCAGATTATTATATTCTTTAAGTGATTAATTTTATCAGGTTTAATTGTCCAAATGTTTTGTTAAAGGATTAGACCAAATTAGATTAAAATTAAAATTTTAATCTTATCCTTGCAACACTATTTCTATAAGTTGGGAGTGATGATTTGTGATTGATTGATTAATGATATTCAAATATTTGTGAGGCCAAATCAAATGCTTCTTAGATCCCGATTCTATATGAGGACCAACCAAATTATTTAGTGTCCTTCCTCTTCCCCTTTCCATCATTTTGGTATCATAGTGAGGTCCAAACTTTCTTGTATTTCCTCAAATTCACTATTTTCCACCATATGCCCATTATCCCTAAATTTTCTCCTTGCATAGTCGATTACCTTAAGTCATTGGTTGATCATAACCTCTCCTTTTCTCAATTTCTCACCCAAAGCCTCAAACCCACACTTATACCAAAAAAAATCACAAAGGTTAAAATTAAAAAAAAGGAAAAATTCTCTAAAAGTACAAAAAATTTGAAATATTAAAATTACAAGTTAGATTATTCTTGACCACGCTTAAAATTTCTCCTAGAAAAGTCAAATCAACCTAATCTAATCACACCACAAAATCAAACCTAGTTTATTTCATGCAAAAACAATAAACAAGATACCTGGATGAAACCATCAATACTTACAATACTACAAATATGTTCTCACATTCCGCAAATACCCTCACCTAGCCCAATATGCTCGCACATAAAATCAAGAAATTTCGTTTATCATATGAGTAGCTTGTGATCCCTCTCTCTTGTCTAGCATACATCAAGTCCACAAAATTCACCTCTGCCCATTCCATCAACACAAATCCCACTTCCCTTTATATTTTCCAGCTCATGAATTGATCACAATGATGCCAATATCTGCAATTGCAATTTTGAACACCGTTATTCCACAAACATGATTTTGCAAACTTGCAACACAACTGCCACCTGATTGACTCTAGATTTATCTAACACCTACTCGCAATTGGCATTCGCTCTCCCTCCTCTTCAACCATGATCCTCTATACTACATTACTACTTATGCTTCTTGTTGAACCTTCGTAACTCTTTCAACCTCAAGAATTGTAGTAGATCACCTGGCATCCATTGATCTTACCTCTCCCAGTGACTTCAGAACTACACTCCCATTCGTGCCTTACCCTTATTATAGATTTCTTCAATAACTCATTGTTGTCATCATTGCAACCACCTATTATGTAGACAAGGGGGGGTCAACTCATGTCAAAAATAATTAGATTTTTGACTTCCCTTGAGTCTACTAGCTCAATCAAAATTGAGCTGAAATTTTAGCTCATTTATGAGCTGCATCAGAATGCATCCTAAATCTCTCCTTCATATCCATCACTACATGTAAAAACACAATTGTACAAAATTACCATTGCATTATTAGCTTAACAATCATACTAAAGGCAACTTGTTTGATTTCATTCCATGGCATCTGGGTATTTAAAGCTTTTCTTGGTTGTTGAACTACTTCATATTAGCCTCAGATGATCAAGTGCATGACATAAAGTTTTGTAGTACTGAACTTAGTTTGATTAATACCCTAATGCTAAGCTTAGATATATGTACTAAGCTTCTTTACTATTAATTGATGATTGATTGAGTTAGATAAAAGAAGATTACACTGAATTATTATTTGCAAGCTACTTCATTATCAAGCTTGATTTGCTACATCATATCATTAAAAGAAATTGAATTACAGATTTTCATTATAACAATAATATACAAAAAGAGATGATTATATCCCTCATTGCACTCATGAATGCTATGTTCCTAAATTTAGTGGTTCTAAAAATTTTGACGTATTTATTGATTAGCTGTATTACCTAAAAACTTATTTTGATTATAATAGCATACATGCAAATGTTTTAATAAGAATTACAAAGTTTTATTTTGTTAGGCTTTAAGAAAAAACATTAAAGAAACTGTCAGAAGATCATGTTTGTTTGCTTTAGGTTATCTTATTTTGCAAAAGATTTAAAGATCTTGGTTACAAAAATTCTCAAAATGTTTATTTTTAACGTGGAATGAAATGAATGTTTAGCTCATATGAGAATATATGCTTGATTCATATTTAAGAGACTAGCATTATGCGTTTAAAAATCTTAGAAATCTTAGACATGATAATTGATTTGTTACATAACATTATGAAAAACTTTCTTGTTGTATTATTATTGTCAAGTTGGTGGAATATTCAAAGAACCGCAAATTGTTGTGAAAATGCTTATTAATGGACTTGGGTGTATTAAGAAAGAAATTGACCTAAATGATCTTCAAACTTTAGATGATATTCACAAATTTGTTATTAGGATTAATGTATACCTTAGTTTGAAAAAGCTTAAATCTTAAATAAAATCTACAAAAAACCTGAGAAAAAGCACTGATAATTGTGCTACCAAACCATATGTATAACAATATTGAATTAACACCACTTTATAAGAATTCCTCAAAACTCCTTCCTGTATGTGTGGCAAAATTCATTGCAAATATTAAAGATAATGATTATATTTCTAATGAGAAAAAACGAGTTTAGAGAGTTATATGTAACAAAATTGAAATTAAAATGTACCTCTTCTGCATGTTTACAAAAATATTTGTATAAGGATCAAGTTGCTAATAAATTGTTAATTACTCACAGAACTAATGTTCCTGATTTTGATATTTTGTTTCAAGATGATTGTCAAACACATAGCAATTCATGTTTTTAATTAATCTATGCTTCTTGATCACTTTTTGAATGCATGCAGTGTTAAACCCTAACCACCACGTTAACATGAAAATCAGTACTTCTATGTTTAACTATTCTTATATAAAACCTTTGGATATTGTGATTGATACATCTGATGATATCATCACTGATTCTATTTTCACGATTAAGCTTATGTAACTTATCTCATATGCTCTAAATCCTATTGCTGCGGACATCGGCACGAAGATTTGGCGCATCTATCACAGGAGGCGTCGTAGATCGACGGCTATCATTTAAACCTTCAATTATGATTTATTTTTCTGAATTATAGTTCTAAATTAATGTATTTCCTGTTTTACCCCTAGGATGGTTTATTTGAGTGTTGTGGCCCAATGGGCAATTTTGTAATTTCGATTTTCTCATATTGGGGCCTATAAATAAGGGCCTTAAGCTATTGTAAGAGGATGGTTAATTTGATATGAAAATTTTGTTTTCCACACTTGTGTTCTTCTTGAGAGAGGACGAGAGTGAGATTCCTATGGGAAGGAATCAAAGTTGTCACCAGCCGCAGGATGGGTCCGAGCTCGTGAATTGAAGTCCCTTGGAGAAGGGCAAACGAATCACCCGTCAGTCTTCGGAATAGTCCAAGGCTCGCAGTTTCTATCATTTTATTTTCTATCGTTTGCTTCTATCTTTCGTTTTATCTTTATTTTTGTATCTTTGTTTTTCTTTTGTGCCTTCTTGTTGCGTCATCCTCTACCTCCGTTCACCATCGTCGTCCCCATTTCCACCAAAAGCCGCCGGCCACCTCACCCGAAGATCCACCACAAACCGCCGGTCATGGCTCCCTAGCCGCCGGCCTCATCCTTTTCCCTCTCTCCTTGGATTTCCTAATTAGGAGTGCATGATATTAGGAATTAATTTGAAATTCAAATTCTTCAAAATTTGAAATTCAAATTTCTTTCCTAATTTAGCTCACCTATTTTTTGGAAAGTTCTCAATTGAAATCATAAACCCATGACAAATTTTGGATTTCAAATTTCAAATTTGAAATTTTTCCTGATTGGGTTTGATCCACATTTGGAAGGTTTTAACTCTCCAATTCAAAATTCAAATTTGAATTAGGAGTTAAATGCCCCCTCAATTTCCTCCCTTTAATTAAGGAATTAATCTTAGCTTTAAATCTGAAATTTAATTTCAGATTTAAGGATTAATTCACTTAAGTAATTGGGGTCCACTTATTTGAAATCAAACCCCTCCTCCCTCCAAAACCCAAATCACATCTTGAATTCTTGCCATAATCATTTCCTCTTAGTTTAGAAAGGTTTAATTTCAAATTTCAAAGCATTTTGAATTTGAAATTTCTTTCCTAATTTAAGAGATCTATTTTAGGAAAGTTTCCTAATATAATTCAATTTGAATTTCAAATTCAAATTGGATTTATTTAAAACACTTTCCTAATTCCTTAAGCCTTAATTAAGTAATCCAATTCATCTCCCCAATCCCCTCCCTCATCATTAAACCACCAGCCCCCCTTTATAATAAATGCAATGATTTATTTCCTAAGCCCTATGTGCCTTGGAAAGAATTCAAAATCCTTTCCCTAGAACCTGGCTGAAATTCTTCTCTGGCCTGCACCGTTCAAATCTTGCCAAAATCAGGGGACTTAAATCCTTTCTCTAATTTCCTTTGCTGGCTGAAATTCCTCAGGCTTTGCCGTGGGATTTTTCTTTCATTACAGCTCTCCAAACTCCACTTGATAGTGTTTCTCCTCCTTCCCCCAACTGC